ACATTGAAAATTGGAAATTTTGAAAAATCGATGTTTTACCTGGTTTCGGACATATTTTTTTTACTGAGGTCTACAGCGCTTGCCACGAAAAATGAACAATGAGCCCAAGGCATCCAGAGTGCTGCACCTGCCACACAAAATCATCATCGTGTCCCAAATCAAAAATGACGACAGTTTCACAAAACGCGACTTTGGACCCTTTCAAAGTGTCGGCCAGATACTGCGTCTACCACGAAAAAACCTCCAAAACCACATCTCATTTTGGCCCACACCTGCCGACGTTTTAGCAACGTGCAAACAATAAGTGCCACGCCTGCCACGCGGATGAGAAAGTGTCCGATGCCCTGCGTGTCACAGACAAAATGCCCTGGATGTCCCAGTCTCCTTCTCTCTGTGTCTCCCTATCTCTTTATCTCTCTCTCTCTCTCTCTCGTTCTTTCCCTCTCTCTCCATCTCTCTCTGTCTCTATCTATCTGTCTGCCAGTCGAGCTGTTTATCTATCTCTCTGACTGTCTATCTCGATATATATATATATATCTCTCTCTCTACCTACCTATCTATCTATCTAATCTAATCTAATCTAACCTAATTAATCTAATCTATCTATCTATCTTACTATCTTTCTATCTATCTATCTATCTGTCTAGCGAGCTAGCTATCTATCTATCTATCTATCTATCTATCTATCTATCTATCTCGCTCTCTCTCTCTCTCTATCTCTCTATATCTCTCTTCCTCTCTCTATCTCCCTCTCTCTCTATCTATCTCTATCATCATCTCCATCTCTATTGTCTGTCTATCTTTCTTTCTTTCTATCTGTCTCCGTCCTCTATCTGTCTATCTGTCTATCTGTCTATCCGTCTATCTGTCTGTCTATCGGTCTACCAGTCTATCTGTCGGAATCTGTCTATCTGTCTTTCTGGCTATCTGTCTATTTGTCTATCTGTCTATCTGTCTCTCTGACTATCTGACTATCTGTCTATCTGTCTATCTGTCTATCTGTCTATCTGCCTATCTGTCTATCTATGCTTCTATCTATCTGTCGGAATCTGTCAGAATCTGCCAGAATCTGTCAGAATCTGTCAGAATCTGTCAGAATCTGTCAGAATCTGTCTATCTGTCCGTCTATCTGTCTGTCTATCTGTCTGTCTATCTGTGTCTATCAGAATCTGTCAGAATCTGTCACAATCTGTCTATCTGCCTGTCTGTCTATTTGTCTATTTGTCTCTCCGTCTCTTTGACTATAAGTCTATCTGTCTATCTGGCGCGGCATTTTTCCTGTAAATTCTCGCAAAAGGCCTGTTGCGACATGTCCATGTGCGTTTCGACTGCACAGGCTCGCACAAAACATATTACTTCTGGGGCGCAGCATTTTTCCTGTAAATTCTCGCATAAAGTGGCTCTTGTGGTTCTCAACCTCTGGGTCTGCGGCATTTTTGGCATAAACGGAGATCCTGCTATGTTTCTCTCTAAGAGGTCCTTGCATGATCCTGTACAGGTCCATAACAGATTATCTTGTGGAGATCCTGGTGAGATCCTCTCTGAGAGGTCCTTGCAGCTTGCATGAGGAGCTCGCAGATGCCATGTCGAATATCAAGATCTTGTAAGATCCACTCCAGCAGCGACGATCTTGTGAGATTCTCTTAAGGGTCCTGGTATGGAGATCTTGCTCAAGGTCTTTTACAATTCCCTGCGCGAAGGTCTTGTGGAGATCCTAGTGAAATGCTGCCAGAGGCCTTTGCCTGATCTTCTACAGGTCCTTGTGAGAAGCTCTTGAAGAGGTCCTCGTGCAATCCTCTCGGTCTCCTTACATGATCTGGCACAGGTCCTTGTGAGAAGATTGTGGAAATCCTGTTGAAATCATCCTCAAAAGATCCTTAAAATCTTGAAGATCCTCTGCGCTGGTGCTTGTATGAAAGTTCTTCTGGGATGCTCACAGGAAATTCTTGTATGAAGATCTTGTGAGCTCCTCTGTATAGATCTACATAGAAGGTCCTGCTGCTGCAGTTGCGATCATGTCTAACCTCATCTGTTACTGTTCCATAGCTACTGTTGTTGTATCAATTTGTCTCTAGCACATTGACTTCCTACCCCCCACACTGTTTGGGGCCTCTTGCCGGTGTAATTTGGGTTCTGGAGAAGGACCCAGTAGGCTCTGTAGCACGCACATGTTAACCTTTTTTGTAGTGCAAATACCAACCGGGATCGCTAGCTTTTTAGAACTGCACTACAAACATCTAGAAAGATCTGCCGATCCATCCAATGTGCCCCGGGAAAACGCTACAAAATTCCACGTGCCTTTTGAAAATAGTCACCAAAATATCACTAAAATGTGCCACTTGGCTTTGCAAAATAGTTGCCAAAAATAATCTCCAAAAATTGCTGAATGGAAACTCATGCTGTTTTTATCAATGAAAGTAATGCCGGCACAGGCTGCAGCTACAACCTCCATGTCCTGACAGCTAGAAAAAATGGAAGTTTAAGGTTTCTACCAAGCACTGCATCATCCACTTTGTACTGGAAATTTGCACGAGGATGCACTTGCTACAAAAAGAGTATGCGTTTCCAATGTTTCCCCTACAAAATCAAATTCAAAAGGATGGCTTCTGAAAGCCCATGTTACTTTGCCACAAAAATAAGATCGGGTTTTAACATATTTTAACATGTTGTCTGAAGGGCAACTTTCCTTGCTACAAAAGGCGATTGGGTTTTAACATGTTGCTTTCCGAAGGGCAACTTTCCTTGCTACAAAATGACTTTCGATTTTCAAAAAGTTTTCAGCCACCCAACCACTGGTATCTTATAAAATGCAATTCCCAACCAGTTTCTACAAAATGCAGGGTCCAACTCCATCGTGGAGCACGGCTTTTTCCAGAAGACCCATTTCATACGGGGGCACAAGGCCTCCCATTCTGTGCTGGAAATTGGAACGGGCATGCTTTTGCCATTTTGACTTCCACATGTGCTTCCCGCCACAGCGGCGTGCAATTTTGATGCCTCATCCAACCAGATGGCTCCGCACCCGCCGCTTTAGCGAGCCTACTTTGCGACCCTCCGGAATCACAAAACATTGGAGTTTCGCGACTTTTCTCCCTTTTCGCGCACTTTGATCTTCTTTCTTCTTGCTCTCTCTTCTCTGACTTTTCCCATCTCTGATCTTTCTGCATCTGTCCATAAGTTGGAAGGTTGATTTCAAAACTTCCCTCGACGATGCTGTACGTATACAGCATGACTCGAGCTACCCCACTCTGTGGCTGGAGGCGTTGGGAGGCGCTCGCAAACAGAGATTACGGGGTTACACGTCGGAGATGGGATCAAATGCCCAAAGAGAGGGATGCAGAGAAACAACACCTCAACGCTCTTCCAAAAATCCGCCCACACCACACCGCTTTGGCGGTGAAGGCGTGCTTATTGGGGGGCAAAACAGCAACACTAAATGCTCAATGACATTTGTTAATATAGCAGTCGCTATATCAGCTTTAGCTGGGGGGGGGGGCCAAAAACGGTTTCGCACCGAGACCAGAATACGGTGGTGTTTTCGACATTTTTCGAGGATTTTTGGGTGTCTGAGCGCAAGAGGGTATTGAAATGGAATTTTGGGTCATTTTGGTAGCTTTCCGGCAATGGAAAAACGGCCAAAAATGAAAAAAAAACATTGTACATAGCAAGATTTTGCAGGGTTTTTGGATGCCAGAGCATTGAAAACACTGCAAAAACAAGTGTTTTGGACTGACGTTATAGCAAAAAAACGTGTAAATTACCGTATGCTTGACTGGAAACATTACAAAAACACTGTCAAAAGCAATGTTTTGGAAGGATTTACTGCCTTTATGGCAAAAAACGTGTAAATTACCGTCTGTTTGACTGGAAACATTGGAAAACCACTGTCAAAAACAATGTTTTGGAAGGATTTGTTATATATATGTTGGAGTTGGCTACCGGCATTGGAACATGGAAAAATTGAAGAAAACACTGTAAATAGCGGTATTTTCAACGGTTGGGGAGATAAGGGAATTGGAAGCATTGTCGAACATGATGTTTTCGACCGGTTTTATGGCGACAAAAGTGTAAAGTACCGTGCTTTGAAGGAAACCATTGCAAAAACATGGAAACACATTCAAAGAACACGGGATTTGGGGGACTATCTAGGCGTCGTTGTCTAGCTATTTGAAATTCCGCAGCTTGGAGAGCCTCCAAGGGAGGGAAAAGTGAAAATTCCATAGCTTAGCTGTCACGGGGGGAAAAGAAAACGGGGGGGAAAAGTGAAAATTCCCTAGCTTGGGGAGCCCCCACGGGGGGGAAAAGTGAAAATTCCCTAGCTTGGGGAGCCCCCACGGGGGGGAAAAGTGAAAATTCCCTAGCTTGGGGAGCCCCCACGGGGGGGGAAAAGTGAAAATTCCCTAGCTTGGGGAGCCCCCACGGGGGGGAAAAGTGAAAATTCCCTAGCTTGGGGAGCCCCCACGGGGGGGAAAAGTGAAAATTCCCTAGCTTGGGGAGCCCCCACGGAGGGGGAAAGTGAAAATTCTTAGCTTGGGGAGCCCCCACGGGGGAAAACCACCCTTAGCCCCTCTCACGGACCGAAATAAACCTGCGGTGTGGGCGGCCACCCCACGCGAAGCGGGGTGAATACGCAAAACTGGTACATACTCACAAACGTCAAAAATACACAAAACTGGTACGTGTTCGCAAACATCAAAGAAAGCTGTGAAAGACCGACAAGGAACTGTCAGCGTTCAGCAACAAACAAAATGACTCCCCGGCAAGATTTGTTGACCTGAATCACGTGCTGTGCTGAGGGACCCAGGAGGAAATCATGTCTAAAGGAGTATGCTAGCAGCCAAACCTTATCAGTAAACGCTACGCGAAAGAAACGTAAGACTCCCACCTACCCGACTTAACCCTTGAAGTCCCAACAACTCTGCAGTTTCTAACTGGATTCCAAGGCTGGAAGATGACTTCAACCTTCAAATCCTCTCTCTCTCCCTCCCCAGATAACCCTTTTTTCAAACTGAGGCGCACAATCTTCCAAATATCCCAAGCTGCACTGGGCGCACAACGTAGCGCTGAAATGCTCTTATGGGTCAGCTGATGCGGCCCGTGTCAGAAGGCTTCTGATCTGAGAGGCAATAGCGGAAGTCTCGGAATCGTTCACGCTTTGGCGGAAATCGAAAATGCGGATCATAGGAATGGCAAGGATTGCTGCGCAGGATTCTGTGCACAGCGCAGTTGGGCACATCTTCTTGCGTGCTGATTCGATTTGGTTTCAATGGAAAACAGAAAAAATGGCAAGGATTCCTGCGAACGTGTATGGCACGTTGGACTGCACATGGCAACCACAGGCAGTCACAGGCGCATCCTCTTTCATGCTGTATTGGTTTGATTTCGATGGACCTGCATTGCCGACCAAGGTGAATGATCAAACGCAGGGCTGAAGGCCAATGCTGCTAAGCACATACATTTTGAAACAAGACTATGTGTTTCTTGAAAGATATAAACTCAACAAAAGTTCAATATGTCGCACCAGTTGCCTCTGTCGGGAAAGAAAACAATATGAATATGCAGGAGCACCTGTAATTCTTGAAAACTCTCACTGCTGACTACATCATCTACACCTCCTGCTGATCCTAAACAAACAGGCGCGCTTTAGCGGGTCCAGGGTTGCCTCCCTGGTTTTTCGCTTTCCGGTGCGTACTTGCGCTTATCCGGCCCCTGGAAACACAACATGAAAGAGATTCTGGCTCTGCTGGCAGCCGCTGAGTCTGAGGAAAGTGCAAAAAAGTTCGACGTCGCTTGTGGAAGATCTCTCAGTTGCCAACTTGTCCCTCCAGGACAAAGAAAAAGGTGCGGTAGCTTTTCCAGACACTATCCAGAGTTGATGGGCTATATTGACCATTTTGGACTCCGAAATCTGCCCTCTTTCCTGCAAGAATCCTCTACCACGCAGATCTATGAGGCCTTTTGCGCCTGGTAGCACGCCCTTGTGGTGAGATGTGGAACTTCGCTACAAATCATGATGGTGATTCCTAGTGTCCACCATCCAACTCTTGAAGTCTGCATTGTTCAACCCCAGATGGGCAAACTGCGCAATGCTTGTTGAGGAACGGCTAATATTGACGATGTCATGCAAATTTTCCCAAGAATCAACAAAGACCCAACCCCGTCCGTGAGGGACTTAAGCCTTGCCGATCTCTATATTTCTGGAATTATCATGCCCCAGCCACTGCATTGTGCACAGCACAGGGCTTGAGATGGAAGTATCAGGCAACCTGTCCCTGAAGCCTTATCGCGCAACCCACGCTACATGTAGAATTGGTCACTGAAGCGCGTGGCTTGCAAGCTGAATACGCAACCACCATGCAAGTGTTGCAAGCTCCACATGCTGTCTGCATTTTTTGGCCTAAAGGTGACAAGCTTGAAGTGGTTCTAATTCCTATAAGCTTTTGCATAGGTGCTCCCCAGCCCCTATATACAAGGGTGGGTTTTTGGAAGTCATGGCCATAAAGCAAAGTGGACACGGCACACATATTAAACACTCATCATGGTTAAACGTTCCCCATATCTCACCACAAGGGACGCATTTTGCTTTTGGAGAACAAACAGCGAAGTGGGTATTTCTCTTCGTTTGCAACTGATGGTTTTGCATCTCTGCACATGGGTTTGCCTTAAGTACGCCATTTGCGGCGGTCCTTCCGCAAAAACGTTCTGACGGAAATTTGCTGGCAGAATGTATCACGACGGAAAGATATGTCATTTGATGTTGAAACGATTTAACACTTGGGGAGGCAATCTGAAACAAGTCAGCAGCTCACAGTTAACAAGTGTTACTGGCAAAAAATGAACCGTGAGCCCATGTTGACAGCGTTTTGATGGTCTAATGAGATCATTTGACCTCACCCAGGTGATGACTGCATCATCTGCTGGCGGTTCAATTTGCTTTTCTCATTCCAGCTTCTCGCTGCGGCTGTTAGTTGAAACAGGGCGCCTCGGCAAAGCAGACCCAAACGATCATCGTCATCCTATGCCACTTCGAGAAGACAACGTCCGAAGCCAGCTATGGCAGCTATGGGTATACTTCAATTTTTTGGATACACATGCGTGGGCTTACAACAATATCCAATTCCCATGGCTTGGAAACCGTAGTGTTGGCTCCCTCCCTGGCCGGCACAGCCGCTTCGGCAAGTGGGGGGTGGGGGAATCTGTGTGAGAGAGCTGCAGGTGCGCGATTGGGCAATCGCACGCAATAGCTGCACTAGAGGCCCAGGGGGGAGGCGCACGAAAGCTAAGGTTTCTAAGGTTCGTAACCTGCAGGTTTCCAAGGAGCAAAGCCCCAACCCCGACACCTCAAACTTTGCTTGATATGTGCTTGGGCGCATACATCTTGGCTTGTTCTGTACAGCCCTTGAGATGAATGCCAATCTTTGCGAATCTCTCGGAATATGGCTGGGTGACAGTAGGGTAAGGCATTTTACTCAGTAAATTTCTCTTTCACGGGCGGAAGTCTAACATTGTCTCCCATTTCTTGAAGTCTGCATTGTTCAACCCCAGATGGGCAAACTGCGCAATGCTTGTTGAGGAACGGCTAATATTGACGATGTCATGCAAATTTTCCCAAGAATCAACAAAGACCCAACCCCGTCCGTGAGGGACTTAAGCCTTGCCGATCTCTATATTTCTGGAATTATCATCCAAACCCAAATGTTGATGCCCCAGCCACTGCATTGTGCACAGCACAGGGCTTGAGATGGAAGTATCAGGCAACCTGTCCCTGAAGCCTTATCGCGCAACCCACGCTACATGTAGAATTGGTCACTGAAGCGCGTGGCTTGCAAGCTGAATACGCAACCACCATGCAAGTGTTGCAAGCTCCACATGCTGTCTGCATTTTTTGGCCTAAAGGTGACAAGCTTGAAGTGGTTCTAATTCTGATAAGCTTTTGCATAGGTGCTCCCCAGCCCCTATATACAAGGGTGGGTTTTTGGAAGTCATGGCCATGAAGCAAAATCGACACAGCACACATATTAAACACTCCTCATGGTTAAACGTTCCCCATATCTCACCACAAGGGACGGAGTTTGCTTTTGGAGAACAAACAGCGAAGTGGGTGTTTCTCTTCGTTTGCAACTGATGGTTTTGCATCTCTGCACATGGGTTTGCCTTAAGTACGCCATTTGCAGCGGTCCTTCCGCAAAAACGTTCTGACGGAAATTTGCTGGCAGAATGTATCACGACGGAAAGATATGTCATTTGATGTTGAAACGATTTAACACTTGGGGAGGCAATCTGAAACAAGTCAGCAGCTCACAGTTAACAAGTGTTACTGGCAAAAAATGAACCGTGAGCCCATGTTGACAGCGTTTTGATGGTCTAATGAGATCATTTGACCTCACCCAGGTGATGACTGCATCATCTGCTGGCGGTTCAATTTGCTTTTCTCATTCCAGCTTCTCGCTGCGGCTGTTAGTTGAAACAGGGCGCCTCGGCAAAGCAGACCCAAACGATCATCGTCATCCTATGCCACTTCGAGAAGACAACGTCCGAAGCCAGCTATGGCAGCTATGGGTATACTTCAATTTTTTGGATACACATGCGTGGGCTTACAACAATATCCAATTCCCATGGCTTGGAAACCGTAGTGTTGGCTCCCTCCCTGGCCGGCACAGCCGCTTCGGCAAGTGGGGGGTGGGGGAATCTGTGTGAGAGAGCTGCAGGTGCGCGATTGGGCAATCGCACGCAATAGCTGCACTAGAGGCCCAGGGGGAGGCGCACGAAAGCTAAGGTTTCTAAGGTTCGTAACCTGCAGGTTTCCAAGGAGCAAAGCCCCAACCCCGACACCTCAAACTTTGCTTGATATGTGCTTGGGCGCATACATCTTGGCTTGTTCTGTACAGCCCTTGAGATGAATGCCAATCTTTGCGAATCTCTCGGAATATGGCTGGGTGACAGTAGGGTAAGGCATTTTACTCAGTAAATTTCTCTTTCACGGGTGGAAGTCTAACCCTTAGCCTCAGACATTGTGTCCCATTTCCGGCTGCGACGATTTCTAGCGCGTACCTTCTAGAATGCTGTGGGCTTGGAAATATCATGGCTGCATAAGAGTATGAGTATATACAAGATGCAATCTGGTAGTGAAATCTAAGGCGCAGCCTCTGGAGCTTGATGTGCTTCCCGCGAACACTGCTGCAATGCGTGACTGGTGGCAAAATGGTCCTGTCAATTGCAGTATGGCACAATCTCCATCCTATAGCTTCAATGAGAGCAATGGCATCATAATCACGCTTCCGTTGCCAAGGAAACACTCAAGACTTCCAAGGCAGGTTTAAGAGAACCAAGCAAAGCTCGCCTCTTTGGCAAATCTTTCTGGTGGAGCGTCTTCCGTGTTCAAGGACTGCGTTCCGTACAATCGTTCTGAAGCACACCCCTTTGTGACAATAATATCTTTCCCTGCAAGTCCTAAGGCCGTACTAAATGAGTCCTTATGAAAAGTGGGACAAAAAGAGGTCCTCGCTTCCTTGCAATTCCTAAGGCTGTACTAAATGAGTCCTTAGGAAAAGACCTGACTTGCACTTTGGATGTGCGAGATTTAGCTTGGGGGTAGTTAGATTGGTGCCATGGATGTGGACGTGGAAAATCTTGGAACACCATCACTGGAAGATAACCCTGAAGGGGTGGCTTTGTTTGGTGGACCCGAGACAGATCTATATACATTCTGTATCCTATGAGCCTTCTTTTCTGCCTACAGATTTTTCAGGATTTTTGCCGTTTCCTTCTGTTGACCGAGATGTTGCATTGTCCAGCAGTTGCAACGTTGATGCCGTGGTGAGTTCTGCCTGGAATAGTTTACGCGCCGAGGAGTACAAGATGCCTTGGGAAACAGATGTTTGGAACCAGTTTCTAGGTCCTGGAGTTACAGTCATGGAACAGATGTCCAGAGGCTTCAAAAGACCTTTCTCGACTCCAGCTGTGAGCGTTGCTGAGGGTTCGGACAGTACTGAAATCGACAGAAGGGTGGCCATGAAGAACTTTCCTTTGATCACTTCTTTCTTGTAACACATCAAAGATGTGCCGGAACGCAGTTGGCAAGAGGAGAGAGAAGCGCTGTGGGAGACCAGTATTCGTCGTTGGGTTGCTTTGGTAGATCAGTATACTCCTGGAAGCGCCGTGCCGCAGCGGTTCAGATTTCAGTCGGCACTCTCATGCTACGGTAAGATGATACTTAGCCCTGCCATACCCCTGGTGTAAGGGGGTGGGGAGTAGGATTCCATTTCTGGGTATCTTCAAAGACCACGGGCAGGAGTTCGCAAAGGTCATATGCGGTTTGCTTTTTGATCTCCGTGTACCCAATTGACATATCTAGGCTACAGTCTGGCATCCGTAGGACCCCCCACCTCTTTTGGAAGCCCAAAAAAAAGGTGGGAGGGGCTATGTTTCATGTGGTCAGGTGAAATATTTCTCAGAAATTTCTTGCCTTGCCCCCCCAAATACTCCAGGGTTAAAGGGGGGGATGCCCTGCTCTTCAGCCGGCTCGTCTCAACTGTGGCGTGCTCTGTGGCGTTTGGGTTTGACACCATGGTCTTAAGATGTCTTAAGATGTCTTAAGCATGTTCAGCAGCCTACCAACGCCAGGTCAGGACAACCCATCACAAGTTTCCTTACTGAATGGCTGGCTAAATTTGGTTTAAGTCGGCGGCGTAAAAACGCGTGAAGGTTGTCAGAAATTCATTATCCGTGTTTGACGCACAATTCACTTGATCAATGCGCGTCCACTTGCAGCCATTGCTTGTTGAGCACTGCCAACCTTACACACTGACGGAACCACACAAAGTCTGCTTCCCGCAAGGGGTTCGTCGCTTGCGGGGCGCAGAACCGCGCGAAAACCATCAGAAACTCATTTCCTTCCTGACATTCCATCACCTTTCTGTTTCCAAAATGAAGCCTCAACAGCGGATTGCTTGTTCTCATGTAGGCCAGCCGCAAGCAGAATCCCGTCGCATCTCCTACATCCGGCATTTCAGGCGACATCCACCAAGGCCCAATACATGGCCGTATGGCCTGCGTGGCAGGCCTGGCCATCATCGGAACCTAGTGGCACATGCAGCAGCTGATCACTTCGTCATTGGGCACATGATGTGACACATGGGCAACTTGATCTTATTTGCCAAAGGGAAAAAAAACGTTGGTTGGGTTACCTTCTGTCACACGTGGGTCCTACATGCGGCTGCCAAAAAACAACTGCCTCGTTAGTGATGGAAAATGGCCACCTGCATCAGACCCGAACAAAGCCAACATATCGGAGCGAACGCAACGCAGTGCTGAGTCATCGAAATTAACGCAGGCAGCTGCGAACTGGGGATGAATGCGCGCAGCGGAGGTGAGCACTGCAAAATCCATGGTTTCACCTATCTTCCGTTCAAATTCGTCGCGGCAGATTCAAAACAAATCAACATCAATGTCGCGCAGAAGAGATTTCTCGTCTGGCGCACTGTGCCACACCGTACATATGGGATGATAACTGCTGCTTTGAAACCCGAACGAAAACAGACACGATTCCGCCATCGTCCTGGCCATTGCTGTCCCTTGAAACTCAACAAGAGTCTCGACTCATCTGGGTGCAAAAGGGTCGAGTCACACACAGATTGCTGAAGAACGATGTGGAAGTCAAGAGCCCTAACAGAATGCCCCCATACAAGAGCCCAAGCCCGGCTACACCTGGGGGGCTTCAAGGTCCTCAAACCACGGGGCGTGGAATTTATGCATGGGGCAATTCTCAATCACTGCTGGCCAGCGAAACCTCTGGAAAGGATCGACATGGAATTTGTCTTGGAATTGGTCTTTTGGACATGTCAACTTGCAAACTCGCTAGGGAATCTCACGGAAGGTGCCATCGAACAGCACCTCCTCCAATAACAATGTATTGCGGTGCTTGATTTGCAATCTCTGCACCAACATTCCAGCTGCTAGTGGTTCAGCTGCTAGAGGTAGGATGTGTTCAACCACCGGCGCTCTAGGCTCTCCATTAAAACAAACTGATGTCGCTTCATCTGCATCGAACACGTCTCACTTCTGGAGCCAAAGCCTGCTGATCCAGTGGGATGTGAGCCGGTTGTTACATGTTAAAACTCACACAGGTACGGTTTACATATGGGATGTCTGAGGGACATACCCCGTTATTCCATTGGTATTATATAGGTTTTGATCCGGCTAGCAACTGAAACGCGCATCCAAAAATGGGTCAAACAAGGCTGTTTGTCTCACTGGAAACGCCCTGCAAAAGTCATGTGTGGTGATTTTGTCTCTAACTCTACACAGAACAAGAAGACTAAACAACAGTGTGGCCCGCAAGGAAAGCAGGAGAAACACACCAAGGGCAAAATTAAACGCAAAAGTCAATCCGCAATACTGTGTTTCCAAAGTTTGCTTGCAAAAAATCACACAGTCGAAGAAATCCGTCCAAAGATGTTACTTGTTAAAATGATGGTGATGGTGATGGTGATGGTGATGATGATGATGATGATGATCGTGATCATGATGATGACGACGATGCTGATTATGCTGATGATGCTGATGATGCTGGTGATCATAGGTATGATGATTGTGATGATGACTATGATGACGAGGTGCACCTGTTAAAACCGACAACTCTTCTCGGCAATCGAAAGGAAACCAGGCCTCTGCCTTCTTAACTACTTGTATGCGTACCTCAAACACCTTCATAATGAGGATCATCCAGAACAGGTGGGCCATTCGCAAGAAACACGGTGCCCTTTTTTCCTGTTGGAACTCTCTTGGCTCGACCTACTTTTGAAAGCCTTGGAGCTACAGCAGCCTGGCTAGGCAGGGCAACCCGCCGGCGGCACACCAGGCAAGCACGCTTCGGCCGCCGGGGTCGCAGGGACGATGATGTTCAGGGAGGAAGTGTCGTGCGAGGCATCAACACAGGCCTGGCGTTGGGAGGGTTATTTCTTAGAAAACCTGTGAACATGTCCAAAAACAATTTGTCAAATTTGCTGGCACTGATAAATTGCCGTGCCTTTTTAATCCTAGTAATTTTGCACTTCATGAATTACTTGAAGTGATACCACGTTTTATTAACTGCCTGCAACATGCCATTGCTATTTTGCACCTCTCTTTTGGATTTAATATTATAATGTTTTAAAGAATTGAATGAAAAATCTGTGAAGTCGTTTATTCATCATTTTTAAAGACAGGACCGATGGTTTCTTAACACTGATTTCACACTACCTCCGGGCGATGCCTGAGCCATGGGGCGACTGGCATGGTGCGGCCTCCTGCTTCTGCAAGTGGGCGCCAGCTTCGGGGCCCTCGCTGATTTAGAGGGGGGTGGGGGCAGGGTCCTCGCCCTCCCCTTTAACAGTGAGGTCGAGACCGCTTGGCGGCCCCCCCGCCCACATTGGTCGGGGCAACTGCAGGCCATTGGCCGCCGGCAGCGACGCCACTTGACCAGATGCCTGAACCGGGCTTGGGGCCAGAAGCAAGGCCCCTCCTTGCGGCTGCAGGGCGGCCGGCATTGGTCTGGTTGGCCGTTGCGTGGCCAGCGCGTGGGGGAGGCACAACACCCAGGCCCACAGGCCATGCTGGTGGATGCTGGGGCCATGGAGCGTGAGCGGTCTCCCCCGCGCGGCGGCGAGCAAGCAAGGGTCTTCTGCCCTGTGGATGGGTGCCCTGCTGCCAACCCCCGCACCGCTCGCGGATGGGGGTCCCATGCAGCTATCAGCGTGGGTGCAATGTGTGTCCTTAAACTGCTTTGCGCCGCTGCGCCGCTGCGCCGCTCCAGTCGGTACGTGCGCGCTATGCTTTCTCTGCTACTGCGCCGCTGCGCTGTTGTTAGGTTGCGCTGCGCTGCTGCGCTGTTGTTTCCTTGCACCTGTGCGCTGCTGCGCCGCTGTGCTGTTGTTAGGCTTCGCTTGCGCCAGTGCGCTGCTGCGCTGCTGCGCCGCTGCGCTGTTGTTTGGTTGCAGTTGCGACGGTGCGCTGCTGCGCTGCTGCGGCGCTGCGCTGTTGTTATAGGTTGCACTTGCGCCGGTGCGCTGCTGCGCCGCTGCGCAGAACAGGTAAGCTGAGCAATTGCGTCCCAGCATCGGAGCATCGGAGCGCAGAATGTCAACACAAGAGCTGCGGAGCGGAGTGGAGCATCGGAGCATCGGAGCGGAGGGCTGCGCAGCGGAGCGGCGTGGAGGATCAGAGCCGCAGAGGATTGCGCAGCGGAGCATCGGAGCATCGGAGCGGAGGGTTGCGCAGCGGAGCGAAGTGCATGGAGCATCGGAGCATCGGAGCGGAAGAGCTGCCGCACTAGATGGAGTGGAGCATCGGAGCAGAGGTTTGCGCAGCGGAGCGGAGCGGAGCATCGGAGCGGAGGGCTGCGCAACGGAGCGGAGCGGAGCATCGGAGCATCGGAGCGGAAGAGCTGCCGCACTATGGAGTGGAGCAGATTTGAGGGAGGATCGGAGCATCGGAGTGCAGGATTTCAGCAGTTGACAGGAGTGGAGCGGAGTGGAGCATCGGAACGTCGGAGCGTAGGGTTGCGGCACCCGAGCACCATCAAGCAGAACTGATCCAACTGCATGAATATAAAAGCACATGTGGACTAGTACAAGCACCGGAGCGGAGCAACGGAGCATCGGAGCAGGAACGTTTACCAGGACACGCTCTGCACTCACTCTGAGCCATGCGGCCCCACTTGGACGACCATGCCGCTGGAACCTTGCAGGGGGCGACCCCCGCAGCTTACTGCGCTGCCCACAGCTTGGACCACTGTCGGGTATGTGGCCTTCTGGTTGCCGCTCGATTCAATGGGGCCCACCCTCGCTGCCGGCCTGCAGCCGGGACTCGGCAGCACCTGCTGCGGCGGCAGCAGCTGCTGGCAACGGTGGTGGCCCTGATATGGCCGCCCTTTTTCTGGCAGACACCCCGGTACTTCGGCACGTGCCCAGAGTCGCTCGCGTGTCGTGGGCCCAATGCCTTGCCCGAGCTCTGGCCGCAGTAGCGCACCACAACTCGGCAGAAGCCTGCGGTGGGACCTGCTCATGCTCCCGAAAGCCGTGCTTGGGGCCCTTCGGCGACAGCAAGCAAGGCAATTCACTCTTCGGCGATGTGGGCGGTGGCTGGGCGGCGAGCGCGAAGAGCTCCTGCAGGGAGGCCCATGCCCGCCCACGCGGCCGGCGTGCAGCCCGCGCTCCAGGAGACTCAGAGGATCCAGTGGTGCGGGCCCGGCAAAGCCGCTGCTGCGCTTTGGCAGGCGAAGGGGAACTGTCCCGTGCCTGTGCAGCCCTTGCGGCGCCACCTTTACTGAACCACGCACACTGTGACCAAGCTGCGAAGCAAGCACCCCTAAGCTGCCCCGGCACGGCCTGCTTTGATGCCTTTAGGTCCACCAAGCACTGCTGATGTCCCGGACATCACTGCCGAGCAGATTCGACGAGGCATTCAGGGCTGGAGCTCCAGCGCACCGGCCCCCCACTGGCTTGCCAGGGGGCCACCTCAAAGAAGCTCTGGCCACTGCCCATGCTGATGAGGTGCTAGTTCACCTGGCTGGTGTCGTGCAGCTTGTGGGGGACGCGCCCGCAGACTTGGCCCAGCACCTGGCTGGGGCCACTCTGCACGCCCTACCCAAAGGACAGGATGACGTGAGGCCAATTGCCGTGGGTGAAACATTGCGGCGGCTGGCATCCAAGTGTTTATGCCAGGCAATGAGGGACTCTGCTCAGGACCTGCTCGCCCCCCTACAAGTTGGGGTTGCAGTGCCCTTGGGTGGAGAGGCCGCCGTGCACACGGCCAGGCAATGGATGTACCGACGAGGAGGACATGCCACCGACGTCTTCTTGAAGGTGGATTTCCATAACGCGTTCAACACAGTTGACCGGGCTGCCCTCCTTCGACAAGTTCGGCTGCACTTGCCTGGATTGGCGCCCTGGGCGGAATGGTGCTACAGCCGCCACAGCCGCCTCCTGTTTCACGGGGATGTTTTAACTTCTGACGCGGGGGTGCAGCAAGGCGACCCTTTGGGCCCTTTGCTTTTCGCCTTGGCGCTGCAGCCGGCCATGCAAGCAGCCCAGGCAGGGCCGTTGAACCAATCGCCCCACCTCATTTTTGCAGGACGATGTTTGCTTAGCTGTGACTACAGGGCAGTAGCGGCCGGCTATGCCCGCCTAGCGGCAGCAGCCCGCCAGGTTGGGCCCCACATCAACCTCGCCAAGAGTGAACTGATCCCATGTGGTGGGCCGGACTCGGCCATCGATCGAGGAGTCTTCCCGCCTGGTATTGCAATCAACCCCACCACCTGCTTCACGTTGTTGGGGGCGCCAATTAATGGTGTGGCTTTTTGCGAACAGCAGACTGTGGCTCAGCGCGTCGACAAGGCCCGCCCGCTCCTGGATGCCATCACGGAGTTGCCGGAGCCCCAAACCGGGCTCCTGTGCTGCGCCATTGCGCGTCCTTTTGCAAAGTGGTGTATGCCACCCGGGTTACCCCGTCAACTTGCTTGGGCTCTGCCATGGAGACCTTTGACACTGCTGTGAGACATTGCTTGGAAGCTGTGTGCACTGGGCCATTGTCTGCAGAGGCTTGGCTTCAAGCCTCCTTGGCAACCACTGCAGGGGGGCTTGGGCTGCAACACGCCTGCATCCATACCCCAGCGGGATATGCTTCCAGTGTCCTTGCCACCCAGCCGCTTTGCCAGCAGTTAGATCCCGACTACCTTCCAAGCAGTGCAGAAGGAGCAATCCTGGCCGTGAACCGGGTGCTTCCTGCGGGCGATCAGATCCCTGTCCCGGCGCCGCCTCGCCTTCGACGACGTCTGTTGTCCCAGGCTCTTGACTAGGTTCTGATTTCTCGTTTAACCGCAGCTGGCCCTGGTCGGGGGGCCTTCCGCGCACATTTCCAGCTCCTGCAGCAGCTGGGTGCTGGGGCGTGGTTGCATGCGCCGCCGTCGCCTGCCCTTGGCCCGCTCTTCAAGACTATGGTCCGCTTGCGGCTGCGGCTCCAGGTGGCTTTGGGTGACGCCCCCTGCCCTATGTGTGACGGAGTGGCGGACAGCTACGGCGACCATGCCAGGGTTTGCCCGTGTGGTGGCGACCGCACAAAGCGCCACCATAGCCTGCGGACGCTGGTCGCTGCCCGATCGCCGGCTGGGTTCCACACCGAAGTCGAAAAACCTGGTCTTCTCCCACCCCGCCCAGAAGACGGAGGTGCTCCTGAAGATGACGGTCGTGCTGGCCCGGGGAGGCGCCCCGCTGATGTGTGGATTGGCAATTGGGGGCTGCTTGGCCCTGCTGCGTTGGACCTCGCCGTGACCTCAGGCATGCGGCTGGGGTCCCTGGCCCAAACAGCTGCCAACGGCCAACATGCTGTGGTTGAGTACGAAGTCAAAAAGTGCTCACACCAGAACACACTGGCCAGCTGCGGGGCGGAAGGCTTGCAGTTCTTGCCCATTGTCGCTGAAGCTTGTGGCGGGGGCTGGGGCCCTATGGCCTTGCAAACTTTCAAAGCCATTGCCACAGCTGTGGTGGCTCGGAGCAATGAGCCTGCCGGCGTTGAGTACGACCGTCTGCTCCAGTGCCTTTCCGTGGCCTTGCAGAGGGAGAACGCCAGGGCGGTTCTCTGGAGAATGCCTGGCTAACGCGCTGCTGGTCCATCTTCATGCAGGTCGAACTTCCCAGGGCCAAAGGCAACTCCGTTCACTACGTTGCTGAGCGTGGCTTTTGTCACAGCACCACTTTTTGACCCCACGGATTTTCCTTTCCCTTTTGAATTTGGTTCACGGCTTCTGCGGCTGCATTTGCCCGATTGAACTTGCTGGGAATATGGCCCCAGATGTTGGTCGCAATGCAGTGTTGCCTCATGGGGTGTTTGGTGCTTATGTGCGGCACGCTGCCTTGCTTGAAGCATGAGCACGCCGTTTGGTCTTTTTGGACGTCGTATGACGATGTATTGACGATATGCATCATAGTTTCAAGAATTCTGTAGATAAAACAGAAGATACTACCAAGAGAAACAGTTTAGAAGAACTTGTGGACCTTAACTGGTTTGCCCTGAAGCTCCCAATCCGCTTTGCAGCGAAGAGGGAGGTCGTTGTGAGTTACACCGTTGATGGGTTGGGTGGGCGGGTTGGGTGGCTCCATGGTTCGTTCTTTGATGGCTGAACAATCACATGACGCGGGAGGTATATTCCTGATCTGTTCCGTACATAAGCGGTTTTAACCATGGATACAGCTGTTCTGAAAATACATTACCCTAAAGTGTAATGCTTACTTCATCATCATGTTCTGTCTTAAAATCCACATACATCGGGAAAAATGTAAAATAGTAAAAAATAATATAAGATGTTTCCTTTGATTTAAAAGATAGAATTTACTGCAATGTAACGTGCTATAAAATGATATAATAGGATTCAATAAAATTGAAATATATATATATATAACATATATATATATATATATACGCAATGTTATAATAATACAAATGAAGTTGCTATGGAATAAAACAAATGAGTTTACTACATAATGACATATGATTTAATACAGCTGAATACAATACGATTGCAAAAAAAAAATATGCCATTTTCCATTTTCCATCCATGAATCACATCCAGGCCGGCGCCTGCAGGGCCGTCTGGTCGCCCGAGGTCAAGATCACGTCCAGAAGGCATTCGATCTTCTTCAGGGCCGACCACTGCACCTCCGGAAAAATGACCCGATCTATATTAAAGAAAGTGAGTGAGTGAGTGAGTGAGTGAGTGAGTGAGTGAGTCAGAGAGAGAGAGAGAAAGAGAGAGAAAGAGAGAGAAAGAAAGAAAGAAAGAAAGAAGGAAGGAAAGAGAGAGAGAGAGAGAAGTACTCCATCTATATTTTAAAAATACAAACACATATATGTATGTATATATATATATATACAATATACATATATATATATATACACAGTTGCAATAAAAACAAGAGAATTAGTTATTCCGGCGAGAGACCCCAAATGGTGCTGAGGAGAACATCTACTGACAAAAGCTCCTGACCAGGACCTCAAACCAGCACCTCAGACCAGGACCTCGAAGAGAATTTCACCAGATCGTCAAAAAAGGAACTTCTGGAAGCTCTTACAATGTCTTTGTACAAGAACCTCCTAAGAGCATCCCACAAAAAGTTTCACACAAGCAGCCCTAATTCAATACTCGGCATCTTCAAGATCTTCATGCAAGGACCTCGTAGACCCCCAAAAGATCTTCTCACAATGACCTCTACAAGATCATCTTGGTCATCTTCACGGACCTCTAAGAGCGCACCATGAGACCATGAGGCTCTCGCAAGATCGTCGAGCGACCGCCTAGAGAACTCCAAAACCTCGATGCCACGACCTCTGAAAATCATGGGCAATGTCAAAATGAGCACCGTGCCACAAGAGCGATCTAACCCGCAAAGTGACGGTTTAGTGCTGCGTGAGCGATATCAAAATGAGCATCACGCCACAAAGAGAGCGATCTAACACGCACAAAGTGACGATAGGGTTGCGCGAGTGCTATCAAAACTTGCACCGCGCCACGACAACGAGACCCGACGTCCGAAGCAGCATTGGACCTCAGAGTTGTCGTTTACGCTGGTGAGAAGCTTTTGGAAAAAGTACCGCGCTTGCCACGAAAAAAATGAAGCCGAGGCATCCGAAGTATTGCACCTCAGCATAGCCAACCCAAAAGTGACGACCGTCTCACGAAACAAGAGTTTCGAGAATTTGAAAACAGCGGTCAAGTTCACCACATGGGACAAATCACCTCTGGCGGCGCCTCTCATTTTAACCCATGCCTGCCAACGTTTTAGCAACGTGCACGAAATACTTCGTGCGCGTGCTATACGGATGAGCAAGTATCCGATGTCCTGCGCCTGCCACACAAAACGAGGGTCTGACCCTCCAAAAGTGCCGAATCTCTTTGCGCCTGCCACGAAAATCGCTCACAGCTCCAACGAGCAGACACTGCAACACATGGCACGCAGGCGAGAACGCACCTCCGCAAGAGAGGTCTAAGACCAGTTTTCGTGCGAGACTTCCTTCAAAAACGGAAGACCGAGGAACTTCATGTGCTGTAAGAGTCACCAAATCAGCCGGACACGGATGCGACCACTTTCGATCCACCAAGCCTTAGCTCCTAACGTAAGAATCGCAAGTGTGACACGCTGTTGTTGGGAAAAATGATCATCCTGCCCAATGAAAAAATAGAACTTGCTGTATACATCTGTATACAGAAAGATACATCAAGAAGCATCAGATACGTATAGAAATAGCTGGATCTTGCCGGTCAGTGGTCCCTTTAAACATTTCCAATTTGGGGAACTGGCATCATTATAACAACCATCTGCTGATGCTGTTCTACACCCCAAAAACTCGAGCGTCATCCCATACGAAACCTTTCGAACTGAGAAAAATCATCAGTCAACTAGGTGCATGTTCCCGCCTAGCATGAGTGTCCGCCAAGTTTCAGGTGTCACAGAGTACCCTGTGTCACCCCCCAAGCGGACAGTGGGTCGAGAGTGGGTTCCCAATTCTTGGATTCAAATTACCCCTATTGACCCTATTGGACCAGTCTAACCATCATTTCCCTCTTGAAAAATCGCCTTTGATGGTAAATACCCCGATTTGTGGGTGCTCAGATCACCTTAAATCACAATCCATCATCAACTGACGACTCTGCCATGGCAGTTGAAATTGGCCCACCTTCAAACTCTCCGCCAACTGGTCGGCGGTGGAGACGGCATTGTCGCTCTCGCCTTGTGCCTGCGGATGGCAATGCCGATGGTTTTGCCATTGATCTCGATATAATCAGCCTCAGGAACCGATTTCTTGGAGGTACCTACCATATAAGGTCTATGTAAGGGCTACGTCAGGGGATATACCTCCAATTTCCATGGCTTTATAAGGTCCAGATGGGTCCAGTAGCTCCAGTGGATCGGAAGCGTTTCAATGCGCTGTCCGGGGCCTGCGTGCGGCAATTCTGATAGCTGGTACAGGCCTGAATCGCACGGCCCAGAAATCCCAAGTCCAGCTCGCGAGAGGTGAGAAATTTCGTTGGGTTCTGAAAATTATCAGTTTTTTCCAAAGATATGATCGAAGGAAGTTTAGAAGCTAAACTTCCGACAATATGGACAGATGAAAAGCAGAGCAGGGAAGAGGCAGAGAGAAGAGGAAGATCTGAAGAAAGAAGATGCAGATGCGCGAAAAGGTAGGAAAGTCGCGAAACACTGTGTTTTTCCAATGATTTGGGGCTCCGGAGGGTCGAAAAGTAGGCTCGCTAAAGCGGCGGGTGCGGAGCGAGCTGGCCAGATGAGAGATGAAAAAGTGCACGCCGTTGTGGCGCGAAGCACATTTGGAAGTAAAAATGTACAAAACACCATGGGTTCGGACCACTTTTGGAAATTCAGATGTCGAAAAAATGCACGCCGTTGTGGCGCGAAGCACATTTCGAAGTCAAAATGTACAAAACACACCAGGTTCGGACCACTTTTGGAAGTTGAGATGTCGAAAAATTGCACGCCGTTGTGGCGCGAAGCACATTTCCAAGTCAAAATGTACAAAACACACCATGCTCGGACCACTTTTGGAAGTGGAGATGTCACGCCGTTGTGGCGCGAAGCACATTTCGAAGTCAAAATGTACAAAACACACCATGCTCGGACCACTTTTGGAAGTTGAGATGTTGAAAAAGTGCACGCCGTTGTGGCGCGAAGCACATTTCCAAGTCAAATGTACAAAACACACCATGCTCGGACCACTTTTGGAGGTTCAGATGTCGAAAAAGTGCACGCCGTTGTGGCGCGAAGCACATTTCCAAGTCAAAATGTACAAAACACACCATGTTCGGACCACTTTTGGAGGTTCAGATGTCGAAAAAGTGCACACAGTTGTGGCGCGAAGTACATTTCCAAGTCAAAATGTACAAAACACCACATGTTCGCACCACTTTTGGAGGTTCAGATGTCGCTTCGCCTCACTACACTAAACTACACTACACTCCGCTACACTACACTACACTACATTACACTACATTACACTACACTACACTACACTACCTTCCACCACACTTCACTACACTACACTCCACTACACTACAACTGCAAATACAACTACAAGTACAACTACACAACTACACCCCACTACACTCCACTACACTCCACTACACTACATCACACTACACCACACTACATTACACTACGCTACACTACCTTCCACTACACTTCACTACAGTACACTACAGTACACTACACTACACTACAAATACAACTACACAACGACACAACTACACAACTACATTCCACTACACTCCACTACACTCCACTACACTAAATTACACTACACTACACTACACTCCACTACACTACAACTAAAACTACACGACTACACAACTACACTTCACTAAATTACACTACACTACACTACATTACACTACACTACACTCCACTACACTACATTACACTACACTACACTACCTGCCACTACACTTCACTACATTACATTACACTACAACTACAACTACAAAACTACACTCCACTACACTCCACTACACTAAATTACACTACACTACACAACATTATCCTACACTACACTACATTCCACTACACTCCACTACACTACACTACATTTCACTACACTGTATTACACTGAATGACATTGCACTACAGATAGACAGGTAGACAGATGGACAGATAGATAGATAGATAGATAGGCAGATAGACTGGTAGACAGCTGGACAGATAGCCAGATGAAAGGGAGAGAGAGAGAGAGAGATAGATAGACTGACAGACAGGCAGACAGATAGATAGATAGATAGGTAATGAGATGAAAGAAAGAGAGAGAGAGAGAGAGACAGAGAGAGAGAGAGATAGATAGATAGATCGATAGATCGATAGATCGATAGATCGATAGATCGATAGATCGATAGATCGATAGATCGATAGATAGATCGATCGATCGATCGATCGATCGATAGATAGATAGATAGATACATGGAAGATAGACAGGTAGGTAGGTAGATAGTCAGAGCAAGAGAGAGAAAGAGAGGAGACCTCAAGCACCTTTCGGTCCATCAGTGGATTCGCTCTGCCATCCTTGATTCACAGCAGCCAATCTCTCCTATAGGTTTCCTATTTTTGAAACTTCCGCCACCGCCTTGTGCGGTACTACTGGTAATTTTCAATATTCATAGGTTTTGAGACTTTCAGTGAAACCAAGTAGATTCCAGTATAGGGTATCCCAAAAACCATGCTTTATTCCAACTTTGAGGTGGAAAATCTCCCAGTTTTATCCATTTACAAATGCTTTTCCTCCACCCATGTTCTTTTTCCAAAGAGCAAATCATCCCAGTACCAGACTTGGCTCAAATAGAAAAACAGTATCGTTTCAGGTTTAAAACAGAAAGTTCCCTTGAAAAAACCACTGATCTGTTTGCAAAAAAGCCTACGATTCGCCAAAAAGCCATGTCTCCCGCCTGTTTCTTGGCCTGATAAGAGCTGCAATCCGCAGGCTTCTCCATGGGGGTTAGGTGGGCGCACATCACCTGCACAGACCATTTTCGGGACTAGAATGGATGGCCCATGGATGGCTGGAGGGAAAATCTACAGGAAACCGCTTTCTAGCCCTAAACCCATAAGAATGATATGGCTTTGGGACCTGAAAACCCGGGAAAGCACAGAAAATCCAAGAGATTCTCATCAGCTTTCCAGAATTGCAATTTTGGGACATATTAGAACGTGATTTTCCGAATGGAGCATTGGGGTGTACCCCACCGGACCAAGCCGTACCAAAGAAGCCGCTTAGAATTCTCATCATCACCCGGCAACATGAAATCAGTGTGGGAATGGCTCAACCTTTATCGGCTTCATCAAAAAAATATGAAAATCCAAAGGTGTTTGTGATCCTGCAAAGGGACAAATCGATCCGCTATTCTTTGAGATCCACAAAATTGGCGATCCCCATCTTGTAGCACTGAAATGTTCATCCAGCCTCCTTGGCTGCGGCTTGCTGATGATATCCAGAGCATTCCAACTGCTTCGAGGTATGCGCCGCTGTGGCATTGGTGCAGTTGGCTTGTCTCATCCTGTGGCAGTACAGCGCGCCAGGGTAGTGGAAATCAGTGCATGGGAACAAAATTGGATCACAAACAGTCCGAGCCCTGCACCTGCGCAAACTGGGCATAGAAATGTGACAATTGTGACAATGTGCAACAGGAGTGAGTTAGACTGTTAGACTCACACCCAAAATCTGCGCAATGACCAAAGCGGAAAAGCGGAATCCTGAAGTCTGCCAGCATGTCGATATTCCGCTGAAGGTAGGCTTCATAGGTGCCGCTCGCAGGAAAGTCACTGGGAGCGGTGCGAGAGCGGTGAAGAGGATGCGGTAAAGATACAAGAACAAGAACGAACACATTAATGGTTCATACATGATTCATAGATGGCAATATATTGTGAATAGGTGAACTCTAAAAAGTTTGATTTTCGTTGTCCCTTTTCTCATGGTGCTTCTGTTGCAGACAAGGAACTCCTCATGGCAGAACCACGACTGAAAGTTGCTGGTCCTGAGAGGGGCCATCGAAAGTTCATGGTAATATACTTAGCTGTCCTGTGGATTAAATGGATTATGATTACACTATTACAGTACATGTACTCTTAACTTCATGGTAAGGAAAAAGAAACTTGGCTTCCCCATGATTTCCCCATAGATTCTCCCAGCTCTAAATGTCCATGAACTTCGTGACGTGGATTTGCCATTCAGCTGACACCGCGTTGCGCGGCTAAGAACGGCTCCGATCCACCGACTTGAAGTACTCACACTTGGCCGTGGCTGCTACCGCCAACATCTCTTCCTAGCAAAGCAGCTGAAAATTGGGAGTTTTTACCCCGTTTTAACGGGATAGCCTCCAGTCTTCAAACGCGGAGCTGGGAATCCCGGAGCTAAATGCAGGTTCTAATGGAAAAATCCATTGCCATGTGTGATTCCTAAAGGGTATCTATGGAAGTGTAACCCAAAAGTATAGGGAAGGCATCACGATGCAAAATGGCCATGAAGAAAACTCAATGGCTCAATAATATGGCCAACATCGGATTCGGAAACTTCAGCGGCGGATTCGGAAACTCCCAGGCCCTCGGATTCGGAAACTTGCCGTCCCTCGGATTCGGAAACTTCAGCGTCGGATTCGGAAACTCCCAGGCCCTCGGATTCGGAAACTTGCCTTTCCCCCTCGGATTCGGAAACTTCAGCGTCGGATTCGGAAATTCTCAGGCCCTCGGATTCGGAAACTTGCCTATCCCCCCGGATTCGGAAACTTCAGCGTCGGATTCGGAAACTCCCAGGCCCTCGGATTCGGAAACTTGCCTTCCCCCCCGGATTCGGAAACTTCAGCGTCGGATTCGGAAACTTCCAGGCCCTCGGATTCGGAAACTTTGTCACCGACAAACTGCATCATCGATAAATATTAGTATATATTGGATTCTTGGATGATCAACCGTTCGGATGGCATCAATAAGTATACATAGGAGATCAGTTTACATAGAAGATCAGTCCGAAGAACTATCAGTTATGGCCATTTATTAGTTATAACTGGTTATAAGTGGGATTATACATGATATAAATGGGGTTATAAGTCAGTATGGGGTTATAACTGGTAAAGGGCCATAACTGATACATCCGCAGTGATTCTGTTTACATGCAAGTGCCGCTTGTGCCTTGTCAAACTTGAGGTGGGGTCCTTATATACATACCACAGCAGCATGATTGTATACCAATGATCAGGTAGCAAACAGCGAAAATGCAGATAAGTTGCCAATTCCTGCATATCTGGAGTATATACGGTCTATATGCATGTAGAATGGCCGACAACGGTCAATTGATCTACTGACTTGGTGAATTCGCATAACTGGTCCGCCGCCGCCAAAAAAACGACGCCACAAATGATAGTCGCTTTTTTTGTTCCGGGCTCACATGCAATCGTGGCAAGAACTCTTTGAACGGGAAGGATTTGCATTGAGGACTGATATTGCATGTAGGGGTTTGGGGGGGGAAGTTTAGAAAATGACTTGCAATCGTGACAAGAACTCTATGAAAGGGAAGGATGTGCATTGAGGAATAACATTGCATGTAGGGCTTTGGGGGGGGGGAGTTTAGAAAATGACTTGCAATCGTGACAATAACTCTTTGAAAGGGAGGGATTTGCATTGAGGATAACTATTGCATGGAGGGCTTTGTGGGGGGAAGTTTAGAAAATGACTTGCAATCGTGACAAGAACTCTTTGAAAGGGAAGGATTTGCATTGAGGACTGATATTGCATGTAGGGGTTTGGGGGGGGGAAGTTTAGAAAATGACTTACAATCGTGACAAGAACTCTATGAAAGGGAAGGATGTGCATTGAGGAATAACATTGCATGTAGGGCTTTGGGGGGGAAGTTTAGAAAATAACTTGCAATCTTGACAATAACTCTATGAAAGGGAGGGGTTTGCATTGAGGATTACTATTGCATGGAGGGCTTTGGGGGGGGAAGTTTAGAAAATGACTGGCAATCCTGACAAGAACTCTTGGAAAGGGAAGGATTTGCATTGAGGACTGATATTGCATGTAGTGTTTTGGGGGGAAAGTTTAGAAAATGACTTGCCATCGTGACAAGAACTCTATGAAAGGGAAGGATGTGCATTGAGGAATACCATTGCATGTAGGCTTCTTGGGGGGAAGTTTAGAAAATGTCATGCAATCGTGACAAGAACTCTATCAAAGGGAGGGATTTGCATTGAGGACTACTATTGCATGGAGGGCTTTGGGGGGGGAAGTTTAGAAAATGACTTGCAATCGCGGCAAGAACTCTTTGAAAGGGAAGGAGTTGCATTGAGGACTGATATTGCATGTAGGGGTTTGGGGGGGGAAGTTTAGATAATGACTTGCAATCGTGACAAGAACTCTATGAAAGGGAAGGATGTGCATTGAGGAATAACATTGCATGTAGGGCTTTGGAGGGGGAAGTTTAGAAAATGACTTGCAATCGTGACAATAACTCTATGAAAGGGAGGGATTTGCATTGAGGATAACTATTGCATGGAGGGCTTTGGGGGGGGAAGTTTAGAAAATGACTTGCAATCGTGGCAAGAACTCTTTGAAAGGAAAGGATTTGCATTGCGAACTGATATTGCATGTAGGGGTTTGGGGGGGGAAGTTTAGAAATTGACTTACAATCGTGACAAGAACTCTATGAAAGGGAAGGATGCGCATTGAGGAATAACATTGCATGTAGGACTTTGGGGGGGGAAGTTTAGAAAATGTCATGCAATCGTGACAATAACTCTATGAAAGGGAGGGATTTGCATTGAGGATTACTATTGCATGGAGGGCTTTGGGGGGGGAAGTTTAGAAAATGACTTGCAATCGTGGCAAGAACTCTATGAAAGGGAAGGATTTGCATTGAGGACTTATATTGCATGTAGGGGTTTGGGGGGGGAAGTTTAGAAAATGACTTACAATCGTGACAAGAACTCTATGAAAGGGAAGGATGTGCATTGAGGAATAACATTGCATGTATGGCTTTGGGGGGGGAGTTGAGAAAATGACTAGCCATCGTGACAAGAACTCTATGAAGGGGAGGGATTGGCATTGAGGAATACCATTGCGTGTAGGGCATTGGGGGGGAAGTTTAGAAAATGATGATTTGCAATCGTGACAAGAACTCTATGGAGTTTCTGAATCGGGGCAACGTGGAGTTTCTGAATCGGGACAGAGTGGAGTTTCTGAATCGGGGCAACCTGGAGTTTCTGAATGGGGTCCACCTGGAGTTTCTGAATCGGGTCAGAGTGGAGTTTCTGAATCGGGACAGAGTGGAGTTTCTGAATCGGGTCAACCTGGAGTTTCTGAATCGGGACACGCTGGAGTTTCTGAATCGGGACAACCTGGAGTTTCTGAATCGGGGCAACCTGGAGTTTCTGAACCGGGGCAACCTGGAGTTTCTGAATCGGGGCAACCTGGAGTTTCTGAATCGGGTCAACCCGGAGTTTCTGAATCGGGACACAGTGGAGTTTCTGAATCGGGGCCACCTGGAGTTTCTGAATCGGGTCAACCCGGAGTTTCTGAATCGGGACACAGTGGCGTTTCTGAATCGGGGCAACCTGGAGTTTCTGAACCGGGGCAACCTGGAGTTTCTGAATCGGGGCCACCTGGAGTTTCTGAATCGGGGCAACCTGGAGTTTCTGAATCGGGACACGCTGGAGTTTCTGAATCGGGGCCACCTGGAGTTTCTGAATCGGGTCAACCTGGAGTTTCTGAATCGGGGCAACCTGGAGTTTCTGAATCGGGACAACCTGGAGTTTCTGAATCGGGACACGCTGGAGTTTCTGAATCCGGGCAACCTGGAGTTTCTGAATCGGGGCAACCCGGAGTTTCTTGAATCCTTGGAGTTTCTGAATCGGAGTTTCTGAATCGGGGAAAGTTTCTGAATCGCAATATATCCCAATAAGATGGTTCGCTGGAATGCTTCGATCAGCACATCATTCTGCCTGCATGTTGAAGCTCTCAAAGTGTAATGTCTTGCGTGTTGTCTAGTGATTATTTTCCAATCGGAGTGAAGAATTAGACCAAATTAGACCAAAACAATTTCAAACAGCTGGACAAGCCTCACATTTCCTAGACATTCACTGGCAAAAAAAACATGTTTTCAGTCGATCTAAAACCTAAAAAACGACATGGTCCTGGCCTGGTGGAAACAGCTAGTCCAGGTGCTATTCAGGGCCTGGACCAAGACTGAAAGTTGAAGGGGACACAGTCACCCAAAAAAATCAAGGTTACCATGGGAAAGTTGGGCAAAATCGGTTTATATAATTGGTTGGAGTGTTTGTCAAAACTATGGGATGGAATGGGCTTTTTACGATTTTCACACAAATCCACATGCGAAATCATAACGCTGACAAGAAAAATGACTCTTCCTTCAGATCAGAGACGTCAGGAAGAGAAAGCTTCCGCAAGAAAGCTTCGCACAACATAACACGCTTCGGAGTCGGTTACCATCAGCCGATCAGGAACTTATTTCGTTAACCCAATGCCATGTAGAAACCATCGGATCACCATAAGTGGGTGGTATGCAGAAACGATCTCCAACTGGTAGTTGTTTATTGGGTGTCACACTATATTAGGTGATATCATATGGTGATATTTCACAATAGTTGGAGATTTCCCATTACCTAAAGCCATAAGCCCTGGAAGCCCAGTAGCACCTCGAATTCCCCTTGGCACCTGAGCCAAATTCATGGTACATGCGGATTTTTGCTCCTCACCGTGGTATACATAGCATCTGTGAATGTCTGCCCATAGTCTATACATGTGTACATTCTGTATATTTACACTGTCTGGTGGATGGCAGGGTCACGGATGTGCCTCAGCTTTGCGTTCCTTGAAGTAGATGTTCCGACAAATTCTTTGTCTCAAAACCAACATTAAACTTGAGAGGCAAGGGATTCCATCAGATTGACAGGATGTCCCGGTGGTAAAAAAAAACACGGGGCCACATGGCAAATCTCCAAACAATCGCCTCAACGGTCGGTTTCAAAATGGGGGATCTCTTTTGGATCAACGAATGATACCCCCAAGCTCCTGCAATAAAAAAACTGGGAAAATGGTCAACCATCAATATTGAGGACGCAGGTACCTCCTTAAAGGAGACAGACAGACAAAAAACCATCCAAGTTGCGTTGAGTACGCAGCACTTGTATCGGTCCAATTGATTTCTTTCCTTGGGCTCGGGCTGGTGGCGGTCTGGCTAATCACTTCCCCATATCATCTGAAGTCCCTTTCAGGGGCCCTGAACTCATTACTAGATTCAATACCAGTCCCACCAGAACTGTGTTTTCTGGGATAGTTTATAATAGTTGACAATCCCAACAGAAGCAACTACTAGTTACTAGACAATCCTTCAATGGGGGATAGTTGATAATAGAAACTGAGTAACTATTGGTAGTCACTTCCCCCCAATCCTACATGCTCCCTAAACAAAACCCTGTAGCACTTGGTTCCTGGTCCTGGGGGACCATGAAAAAATTCAAGATGATCCCCATTTCAGTGTGCTTGTGGAGCATGTGAAAGCCACGGTTTTTAGGATAGTTAAATCTAGTTAAATCCTCTATGTTGGAGGATTTCATCCTCCATGTTTCTTCCCGATTTTTCATGGTGAATCATGGGATGTTCTCCAACCACAATGGGGATATACTGGGAACCTGTTTCCCCTCGGAAAATCCAAGCGCTCCAACCCCACCATCCCCACCATCCCCACCATCCCCCACCGCCCGGCCGAAGCGCTTGATGGTCTCCGCATGTGCCATGTCAGCCGTCTTCATGGCGTTGCAGCTGACGAAGGCGCTCTGATTCGTCACGGATTTCCTGGGGTGTCTCCAGTGTTTCTGGACCTCGCAACCCTCTGGTTATGTCAAAATAGCTATTGAACATGGCCATTGATAGTTGATTTAACCCACTAAAAATAATGATGTTTAACAGCTATGTTAGTTTACCAGAGGGTAGATAATAAATCAAAAACACAGTGATATCATGTACATACTGTCGATATTTTGAGATAGGTAGATATATCAATAGATAGAGATAGATAGAGATAGATAGAGAGATAGAGAGAGAGAGATAGAGATAGATAGAGATAGATAGAGATAGATAGAGATAGATAGAGATAGATAGAGAGAGATAGAGAGAGATAGAGAGAGATAGAGAGAGATAGAGAGAGATAGAGAGAGATAGAGAGAGATAGAGAGATAGAGAGAGAGAGAGGTAGAGAGAGGTAGAGATAGATAGAGATAGAGATAGATAGAGAGATAGAGAGAGAGAGAGGTAGAGAGAGGTAGAGATAGATAGAGATAGAGATAGATAGAGAGAGATAGAGAGAGAGAGAGATAAAGACAGATAGAGATGGATAGAGATAGATAGAAATAGATAGAGATAGATAGATGGACAGCTAGATGGACAGCTAGATGGACAGCTAGATGGACAGCTAGATGGACAGCTAGATGGACAGCTAGATGGACAGCTAGATGGACAGCTAGATGGGTAGCTAGATGGACAGCTAGATGGACAGCTAGATGGGTAGCTAGATGGGTAGCTAGATGGACAGCTAGATATTGGCATTGCATTCTGTGCTTTGCACCATGGTCACCATGAACCGTAGCTGCTAAGGGCAGATCTGCGCGATGCTGTGCTGACCTCAGCCGATTTGTCACCAGAAGTGGGGTTTTATCCATCAAAATCTGGATAGCCAACGGAAAAAATAGAAGTACATGTCAATGTTTACATACATGTGTATATATATATACACATAATCATATATGATGTAACATTCATGATATGTAAACCACAATGGAAAACAGTATTCTAGAAATGTGCAAAAATATATACTAGCACATACGCAAATGATACTCATTTTATGGTGGTTGCTCAAAAAGGGGGACCCCCGATAGCCAATCCAAATCATCCATTCTAACTTTTGGGAATGTCCTGTATAAACCATCCATTTTGGTCTAAAAGTAGCTCCATTTGAATGGAAACCCCCTAATATAGACCTACTCTTTTCGAGGATAACTGTTCTAAGTTTACCATCTTTTCCAAGAGAAAGCAGCAGCATTTCATCACCAAGTCATCAAGTCCAAGTGGCTCGAAATGCTATCCAACAGTCCCTTCAGCAAATTCTTGATGGAAGTCACTGACTCTTCCCGAGAGGAGGGATCCTGAAACAGGTGGGAAAGATCAGAGGTTCTCCACAGAGCATATCCCTTGCCACTTGAAAAGGGACTATGAAAGGCTTCCCAAATTAGTTCTGGTGTTGGAGGGACTTGGGCATTCTCCAAACAAATCATCTTTGAATGCCGGAACACAACTCGAAGCTCAATCAGCTATGGATGCCATAGCAGTGGACCCTTTGCAGGCTCATCTTCCTATCATCTTCCCAAAAATGGGTTCGTGTGAAACTATGGACCCAAAAGTCCTGTAGCACAGATACGCTATATATACACTATACACCCTTTTCAGACACACCACCAACTATCATATTGTTGATGACAGTATATATCGGATTGAATCCCAATAAATCCCACTAACCCCAGGTATATCCACAGGCTCCTGCTTCTGAATCGATTCAGCCATGGCTGCCAGGGAGGACCTTAATCTCAATGGGATGATAACCAGGAGAATCTACCCTCTGGTTATGTCAAAATAGCTATCAAGAATTGCCACAGAAATAGTGGATTTACCCATTTATCATGGTGATTTTCCATAGCTACGTTAGTTTACCAGAGGGCACAGGAAATTCTGTAGCAAATCCGATGGAAAATCCCTGAAACACTCAGGGACAAAATCGCGCAAGATCTGGAGCACATCAGACCGCCAGGGCACACCATGGGATCCAAGGGTTGCCCCTTCTCACTCAGCAAAGCCATCAAAGCCTGGATGTTGTTGGACGAAATGGTCAGAAATGGTCCGAAATGGTCCGAAATGGTCCGAAATGGTCCGAAAATCATGGGAACTCTCCAAAATCATCCAATATCCTGGAAAATCGAAGGGAAACCATGCAGAAAAACAACATTTGGGCTAGGCGGTATAGCCTTTCATAGCCTTTCACCTGTAACATCCACGACGGAAGAAGAAAAACCATTTGGATCACCAGTAATTTGGTCAACCCAGTAATAAACTTCCATTTTTACATGCTGTATACCATTCATTTCGGAAATAGGGGATGTGAATTATATTCTGTTATTGGCTTTACCTAAATCATCTTTTGTAAAGTTGTGATCCGTTCCACAATTGTCCACGTGCGTTTCGCTGCCTCGTGGCTCACTGGCGCACCTTGGAGCTTAGAAAAATGGCACTCCCAAAGAGGAAGTTTACCAGTTTGTGGTTCTGACAGGGAAATTACTTCACAAAAAGGGGGAACGTATGGGAACTATAATATATATATATATATATCTGGTGGTCCCCCCTCCCCCCGAGATGGTGATGGTCCCTATATGTATATGTAAGTCATACATACATACATACATTACATTACATTACATTACATTACATTACATTACATTACATTACATACATACATACATATATATATATATGTATTTATATATGCATATATATATATATACATGTACATATATATATATATATATGTGCAAGTAGTGTATTAGTGTATTAGTGTATTAGTGTAGTAGTGTAGTAGTGTATTAGTGTATTAGTGTATTAGTGTATTAGTGTATTAGTGTATTAGTGTACTGGTGTATTAGTGTATTAGTGTATGTATGTATGTATGTACGTACGTACGTATGTATGTATGTATGTACGTATGTACGTATGTACGTATGTATGTATGTATGTACGTATCTATATACGTATCTATATACGTATCTATATACGTATCTATATACGTATCTATATACGTATGTATGTACGTACGTATTGTACGTACGTTTGTACATACGTATGTAGGTATGTACCTATGTACGTATGTACGTATGTACGTACGTACGTACATACGTACGTATATATATATACGTATATGTACATGTATATGTACATGTATATGTATGTGTATATGTGTATATGTATATATGTATATGTATGTATATATGTACATGTATGTATATGTATGTATATATATAATTATATATGTATGTATGTATATGTACGTATGTAGTATGTGTATGTGCAAATGTATACAGTATGTATATGTATGCATATATGCATATGTCTATGTATCCCCCCCATGGGGGGTAACCCCCCCCTGGGTGGACCCACTGGGCGCCATGAACTTCATCCCCTTGGCTGCTGCTGCTGCCACATGTGTGCTTAAAAGTAGGCCTGGCCGCGGAACCAGCTGCACAAACATGCACAAACTAGAAAATCATGTGGAAGGAACTGATGATAACTGATGGAATCTGTAAAGAAGCGTCATTGACATGAAGTGACAAATTCGTGAATGCTCGTCTTCGCATCAAGACCAAACATGCAATTTTGCATGGTTTGCGTGTGTCTGAGAATGGGGTGTACCCCGGAAATGGTATATAATTTCAATATAGAAAAAATGAGGTGTTATATACCATCAAATTTGGGGTGTACCCTGCTTTCAGACAAACCCATTTGTTTCTTCATAGTTGGTTATGTCCCGACTATATGTTCTTTGCCCGTCACCCAGGTCAGTTGGCACCAGCCCACGGCCTAGAAACTGCATTGCGAGCATAGCTCCAGGAGGAGGCAGGTGAAACGAGCACAGCTTGTGTCACCCTTGAACCAATGACAGCGTCAGGTCGCGTTCGAACGAGACACCATGAAATGCGACTGGTCAACACCATAACAGCTGATTACTTCCCATGCGAGGCAGTCACCAACTTCACACTCCCCATTCAGCAAGCGAACCTTTTACCCAGGCGCCCTGTGTGCAGATTTGTGTGCAGCGGCTGAAGATCCAAGATCTGACATCGGAATAGTTTTAAGATGTCGAAAGCCACGGGTTTTTAATAGGCAAAAATATCAAAAAATGATGTTTTTCTGATCATCAAATTTCGGGGCTTTCAGATGTTTTCAGACAAACCCCAGTGTTTCTCCATTATATCACCACTCTGGAAGTATAACCCAATTGTTGTTAGTGAAACACTGGATCTTTACCCTTCGGTGGAGTTGGTGCCCACGGCCGAAAAAACTGCATGGTGAGCATAGCTCCAGGTGCAACGGTGAAACGAGCACAGCTGATATCACCCTTGAACCAGTACTGTATATCAATGGATTGGATTAAGGGAAAATTTACAGGAAACCATAGATTTTCCCATTTAATATGGGGTTTTCCTGTAAATTTTCCCTTAATCCAATCCATTGAGTATATGGTCTTCACATGTGCTAAAAAATTGGAAGGTGCAATTCTCGGAGTCGCAAGGTTCAAAGTCAGCACGCACGCTGTTGTTTTTTATAATTCACCACTGCCAGGAAAGGATACACCTTTAAGGATGGCGCACTGGCGCACTGGATGGCGTTGCATTGACTTGTGGTCCTTCAGATCTGAAAGTCCTCATCTAATCATGTATTGAAAATCACCACTTTGAATAGGTAAATCAACTATTTCGATTAGGGCCATTTTGCATAGCGAACTGTTAGTTTACCAGGCCGGGTAATAATCATCCAAGTGTTACAAAATCGAATGATCGAATGATTCATGAACCCTGCACCAGTCTTGTCTTCACCAAACGGAGCTTGAGCCATAGCCAGGAAGCGGTCTCGGCCGCTCCGACGTCAGGGACATCATTTTGCACCCCACTTGCTCCGATGGTTGGTATATGAGCCCTCAAATGTGCCAATTTGTTGTTTGCGATACTCAAATAGTTTGGAACAATGTTTGGGAACAAATCTTGGAAAATATCTGCCTGCAATGTTGAAATACCTTAAGAAAATTGGCCTTGACCCGAACATAGTTTTGCGTGCAGGTACAGCAATCAAAACCGAACCTCAAAGGTTACACTTTGAAGGGACCTAAAATCATATCCCCGTTGTTCCACCAACCAACTCAGATATCTTCTTTCCACACGCATCGGCTGTGACACTTTCCAGACACATTGGCTGAGACAAGTTTGAGCGATTTTAAGCGTCTCAATGATCAGCACCTGCAGTCAGGGAGGGGAATGGCTTTGTCGGTAGAACTCAAAATAACCACTGTCAATCAGGAAAATGGTCATTGACCATGGGATTTGGGGGTATCCAATTCTCAAACAAACATGAACATCCTACCAAATAGGGCCCAGTGACCCAAACTCATTGGGCACAAATTTCTCCAAGTGATTGCTCCGGCCCTGACGCATATAGGGTCACATGGGCTAGTCATTTTCAGTCTTCCAAAAGTGATCTTCCAAGTTTGAGACAAGAACTCAGGTGGGTACAAGTCAAATCACCCAAATATCTGTCACCCTCCATCTGACGCAACCTGACCTTGTGGCGGCATTCGCTGCGTGGTCAGCAGCCACAGTCTGGCAAAGCCGACAGCTGAAGAACCGAAGGAGCCATCACAGAAGGATTGGGTCATCTGAGTCATCTATTGTCATCTATTGTCATCTATTGTGGACGTTCAACCTTTCAACCACTATCGCATAAAGGGAGGGGTGAGAGACCTTCCATTGGAAAAAAAAAACGCAGATCCCGCCTCATCCCGCCTCATCCCGCTGCTCATCGACAGCGCACACCATTTGGCGCTCGCCGTCGACCGTGTTGCCACATTGAATGCAGGACATTCGGGCAATCTGTAGACCACATGTGGTCGGGCCAATAGAACCGGGCCGGCCACAACACCGACTCGGCGGACACTGGATGGATGGGCTGGCAGCAGATACGTGTACCTAAAGCTCCGGAATCAAGTTGGTGGAACATGTTGCACCCCAATCGTTCGCAAAAAAGTCAGTCCCAATGGGTCTGTCACACTTGTGCAGTTGCAAAGCAATGACGGGACTATCACTGTCAGTCACAAGGCCGCGCACTTCACATTGGAAGTAACACCAACGGGAGGCTGAACGGTGCCTGCAGTGCCTGCAGTGCAACGGTGATCCAAGCGATCACCAATGGAATACCAATGAGATGCCTATGATCTGCAGGAACACCCCGGGCCCCATGGATCTTTTTGTACGTCTTTGGGGGCTGTCCCAGAATTCCAAGGAAAATCTTGCGGAAGAATTTGGTTCTTCATGCCACATGGAAATCCTGGTTTGCTGTAGGGGTTCCTTTAAAACGCATTGAGGATATCGAGGCTAGTGTGTGATATGACACCCTGGGGTCATCCACGTGACCCCTGTCCACCGTGCCTGGTGAGGGCTCTGGTTGGTCCAGCCTTTGCAGTGGTTTTTTCCAAAAAAAAAAATGGGACCCAGAAATAACCGGCGTTGTCCTTAGCAAAAATATAGGCCTCGGGGATTTCGAATTCCACCATGTGTTCAATAGCTGACACCAAGATTTCGAGGGGGGGCTTTCATTTTTGTCATCCGATGAGATCATCGCACTCCACCAGGTTCCCTGCTCCGTCTCGCTGCGTGGAATCAGCACCGTACTGATTGTGCTGGCGCATGGAATGGCCTGGCACTTCGTGGCAAAAATGTAAAGCGAAATTCCAATGCAACAAAGCTCTAAGAGTCAAAGAGCATACTCCATGTCAAGGGTTTATGCAACGATTCCTTTCATTTGATGTGCCATGGGCTATGCTCTACATGTACGTTCCAATCTTTGGAATTTTCCAACATGTCATCATGCGTTCGGATCTAGATCCCAAGGGCCAAGCTATGGATAGTTTCATCTCCGCGTACCCTGGTCTTATCCCGAAAAAATGCAAGAAACTATAGCTGTAGTTCGCTGGGACTTGGATTTGCCCCAAGAAAAGATACTCGTTGGTGCCCAGAAAAGTGGACCGCTTTCTGTTCTATCCCAAGTCTTGAATCAGTCCAATCCTGGTGCTCATAACGTGGTAAACCGCCATAAGCCCTCCCCAAATGACCAAGAATTGCTATACCGGGATACCCACTAAAATCGAAGCTTTACTGTTGGAGTTGCCACAGCCCCAATTTTCTGTGGGATCGCCCCACAGAAAATCCGTCGCACGTTCCGGAAGGACTCCGTGGAGCTCTTGATGCGCAGGTGAAGCTACGCAAAGATTATGTACAGATGGATGCACCACAGTTTCACCGAAGATTGCCCCATTTCGACCCCCGAGCCCTCCAAAATTCCTCTTTCCAACAACATAAATTAATTAAAGATATTCAAAATACATCAAAATACAAGATAATACAAGTCTCAACACCCTTCCAGAAAGATGGACGATAAATCTCGGTCCTTCTTCATGCTTATGTAGTCTTCCCACGCGGTTTCCACAATTTGTTTGGCATCCTGCAGCGCGCATGGAGCTAAGCTCTGGCTGGCAAGGCATGGATCGGTGGCAGCGCGGTTGAAGGGCTTGGGGCTGCATACTGGGTGCAGTTCTTGTAGATAAAAAGTGAAGAGAGTCCCTCACCGGGAGAAGCAAGGTGTAAATTCATGGCTTTGCAAATGAATGCAGTGAACCAGTGAACCATGTGAGAAGTACAGCATGCAAATCGACACATCCAGCAAACATTTGAGGTCCCCACATTTGAGACATCTGCTCCATGGTCGGCTGGAAGCACTTTTTCCTGACCAAAGAAACAGTGGCATCCCATCCCTATCCGAGCCTGAATATCCTTCTTCTTTTAATGGGATGACTTCCAAGGGAAAAATGCCCTTTCTGCTGAAGTGACACATAGCAGAGCAGAACCATGCGAGCCAATCCAAACAGCTGCTTCCAAGCATATCATTCAACACCGGAGTAACTCCAATCAATTGCCAAAAAAACATGGTGTAGGATTGCCATGCTCGTTCCACATTGGATTTCACGACTTCGCATGTCACACCCCATCTACCCGCCGTCTTGGGGACGAATGGCTGGCTTTCGCCCAACCTCCGTTGTCGCAGGGGACGGAGGGGACGGAGTCGACGCCGTCGAAGTGCAGGACTGTCCGACCTTGCACAGAACAGTGCCCTAGAAATCATGAATTTCCATCCTGGAGGGATTTCTGGTGCCCTGCTTTAAACATGTGAATCAATTGGGATTTGGAATTTCAAGTATCTTTGAAACCAGAAAAAAAAAAACATTAGATTTGGCCAGTATCTTTCCAATGGATGTCATGTAATCGTAGCCAGCTTGAAGCCTCCATGAACTGGGCTCAGGGGATCGGGGATTCATCTGTTTTTGAAGGCCCAGCCTTCTCCGGAGTGCAAGGATCAAAGTCCTGCCGATTCGTGTTGCTCCCAGCAGTCTGGCCTTTCTTGGGGTTTGGGGCCCAGGTCCCCAATCTTTGGACTCTTCACAGCCATGGTCTCCTTGCTGACATGGTTTTGGGATGAAGCTCGAGGAAGGTAACGGTAACTTTGTACCTGCGCCGTCAAAATTGATATGTACTCCACAGATTCACATCATGAAAATCAGCAATGCATCCGAGTCACCACTCAAAACCTACTTGGGGGTGCAGTTGGGATTGTGTTATACATATAAATATACATACATACCATACCATACCATACCATACCATACCATACCATACCATACATACCATACCATACATACCAGACCATACATACATGCCATACATACATACCATACATACATACCATACCATACATACCAGACCATACATACATGCCATACATACATACCATACATACATACATACCATACATACATACATACATACATACATACATACATACATACATACATACATACATACATACATACATACGTACGTACATACATACATACATACATACATACATACATACATACATACATACATACATACATACATACATACATACATACATACCATACATGCCATACATGCCATACATGCCATACATACCATACATACCATACATACCATACATACCATACCATACATACCATACATACATACATACATTACATACATACCATACATACCATACATACCATACATACCATACATACCATACATGCCATACATGCCATACATGCCATACATGCCATACATACCATACATACCATACATACCATACCATACCATACCATACATACCATACATACCATACATACCATACATACCATACCATACCATACCATATCATACCATACATACCATACATACCATACATACCATACATACCATACATACCATACATTACATTACATTAACATTTACATTTACATTTACATTTACATTTACATTTACATTTACATTTACATTTACATTTACATTTACATTACATTACATACATACATACATATATATATATATATACGTATATATAGTTGCATATACACATATATATATATTGATGGCTATACTATACATCCGGTTACAGATCCTGGCACCCCCGGGATCCAAAAAAGAATCCCACGTGACGTGACAATCTGCAGGTGGCCTGCGCATCATCCCAGGACTGTAGCAAGTCATCAGGAAAGAAAAAATCAGCGCCTGCCCCGGTGCGCTTCGGATAGGGATTTGTGCCATGTACCCCTAAACCCAATGCTGAATGATCATTATCCCTGTTAAATGGCTATAATTGGAGGTATACCCTATTTTCAAACAAAACCATATGTCATTGTAGAAACTCACTCTCAATGCGAGCAGGATTGAGCCTTCTGTTTTGTGAAACTCTGATTGTGTCTAAAGTCCGTGAAGGATGTCTCTGGTTAGACTTAGACTTAGTTCTTGAATATCACCATCTTTAATAATTCGAGTTAATCATCGAAGTAGATGGGCCATAATTTCTATAGATTTCAATTACCAAAGGAATCCAAAGGATATCTCTGTGCTCTCCTTGCTACTCCCTTGATCACATCATCGCCGTGCCTTTTCCACACGACTCACAGGTCGGCAATGTTGAGGACTGGTCAAGTTGCTCGCGACACTCGCTGTGAACAAGGTTTCGAGCAGCATCAACACTACAAACGCGAAGAACACTCTGTCATAAATTGAGAATGTCACATGTTAGATGTGTTCAGTTGCACAGTATTGCACAGTCTGCAGTAGGCGAATGGGCGACATGTGAGAAGCTTTCAGAAGTTTTCCATGGTGTGTAAATCAACATGGTCTTCCATGTCACTGTCACATGGCGCGCCACCCATGACGCAAATCGGAAAGACACTCCGCAACGTCCACACTTCGCAAGCTGTGTCAGCTCGTCTGCAAAATAGGTTGATTTCGATTAAATATAGGCCTATCAGCCAAAAGAAACACTCAGACGTTGTTATTTAAGATGATACAGTACAGAAAAAAAAAAAAAAACATTGAATTAGGTCACTAGGATATTATATAAAATATATATTATCATACAGTATGTGTCATGTATTATATATTGCATGTTATAGATTATATGATATATTATAATATATATATATATATATATTATCATACAGTATCCATTATACATTGTACCTCATAAAACACATATCATATATCATCCATCATATATTCTATATTATATATTCTATATTGTATATTATCTATTATAAATTATATATTAAATATTATATATCATATATCATATATCATATATTATATATGATATATGATATATGATATATGATATATGATATATTATATAGTATATATTATATATTATATATTATATAGTATATATTATATATTATATATTATATATCATATATTATATATTATATATTACATATTATATATTATATGAAATATATAATATATTATATATCATATATTATATATTATGTATTATATATTGTATATTATATACTATATATCATATATCATATATCATATATCATATATATATGTACTATATTATATAAAATATTATATTTTATATGTTATATATTAGATATTATATACTATATATTGTATATCATATATCATATATTATATATCATATATTATATATTATATATTTTATCTATATACTATATATCATATATCATATATCATATATTATATATAATATATTATATATTAAATATTATATATTATATATTCTATTATATATTATATATTATATATTATATATTATAAAATATATTTTATATATTATATATTATATATTATAAAATATATTTTATATATTATATATTATAGACTATATATTATATATTATATATTAAATATTATAGACTATATATGATATATGATATATGATATCTTATATATTATATATTATATATTATATATTATATATGATATATGATATATGATATATGATATATGATATATTATATATGATATGTGATATATTATATATTATATATTATATATTATATATTATGTATTATATATTATTTTATATATTATATATTATATATTATTTATTATTTATTATATATTATATATTATATATTATTGATTATATATTATATATTATTTATTATATATTATATATTATATATTATATATTATATATCATATATCATATATCATATATCATATATTATATATTATATATTATAGATATTGGGATCATTCAAAATGACGTCAGGTGCCATTGCTATTGACATTCACAGCAACTCACACCTCAAGGAGGATCGCTTCAATGTCCACGAGGTCACACAGACATCCGAGAAAGTCCTCCATTGGCTAAGCGGCGGCCAAGTCGGGGATGGTGTTTTTCATCATGCTGAAAAAGCACGGGGATTGAACCACAAGGATTTTGAAAGGATATTATATTAAATCATTATATATATATACATATATACACACATACGTATATATATATATATATGTATATTGTGAATGAACAAATGATCCCAGTCATGTTCTTGCTTTCTTGTCACATGTGCATAGCCTTCCATGCATGTTCCGGAAGTTTGTGTGGAATGATGGTCCAGTTTGTGTGACCTGATTTCTCTTTCACTTACTTACAGCATGAGGGTTCACCTGAAGACGTGGAAATCCTCAGCCGCTTTGGCTGACTGGCAGCTCGTGGTGGGAGGGCTGAGGAAGCGCTTGAAGCCATAGGATTGAGGCCAATCCTTTCTGGTTTGCTGAGGACAGCATTTATCGGTGGCATCAGTGCCTTTGGTCTTTCTGCTTGGAAGCCTGACAACATTTACCATCTTGGCTGCTTGTGAAAACGTTTGCGAGTGCGCTGGAGCTGGTGAAGGGGATTTTCGACCAGTGTGGAGCGATTCACACTGGTAGCGGAGCTACCAATAAAGCTCCAGGGGACCTTTGATAACATCTGGTTTTCTCTGAATGTCCGAAGAAACTGCAACAGCAGCTTCAACCGATGGAAACACTGCAACATCGAACCACATGGCCACACTGGTGCCGACTTTCGATCCATCAAAGGATGACTTAGAACAGTACACACAAAAGGTAGAATTACTGAGTGAGATATGGCCTGCAACAAAGATCAATGAGTTGATCACCTGTCTCATTCTGAATACGAATGGAACTGCCTTTCAGAAACTTCAGTTGAACAAGTCTCAGCTGATGACAAATGACAAGAAGGGAGTGCAACAACTGGTCCAGCTCCTTGGCGGCCAGTGGGGAAAAGTCAATTTGGAGAAAAAGTACGACATCGTGGAGAGAGCACTTTTCCGTTGCCTTCAGAAACAAGATGAATCCA